AAGGAAGGAAGGAAGGAAGGAAGGAAGGAAGGAAGGAAGGAAGGAAGGAGAAAAGAAAAGAAGAGAGAGAGATAGAGAGAAAGAGAGAAAGAGAGAGAGAAAGAAAGGAAGAAAGAAAAGAAAGAAAAAGAAAAGAAAGAAAGAGAAAGAAAGAGGAAAACCTGGTACCAATACTACTGAAACTATCTCCCCCACCCCGAAAAAAAGGAAAAATTGAAGCCGGGCACGGTGGCTCACGCCTGTAATCCCAACACTTTGGGAGGCCGAGGTTGGCGGATCACGAGGTCGGGAGATTGGGACCATCCTAGCTAACATGGTGAAACCCTGTCTCTACTAAAAATACAAAAAAATTAGCTGGGCATGGTGGTGGGCGCCTGTAGTCCCAGCTACTCACGAGGCTGAGGCAGGAGAATGGCATGAACCCGAGAGGTGGAGGTTGCCGTGAGCCGAGATCGTGCCACTGCACTCCAACCTGGGCAACAGAGCGAGACTCCCTCTCAAAAAAAAAAAAAAAAAATTGAGAGGATGCTCCTTAACTCATTCTAGAAATCAAGCATCATCCTGATGCCAAAATCTGGCAGAGACACAACAACAACAACAAAAGTCAGGACTGATGAATACAGACAGAAAAAATTTCAACAAAATACTAGCAAACTTATTTCAGCAGCACATCAAAATGTTAATTCACAACAGTTGAGTAAGCTTTACTCCTGGAATGCAATGTTAATTCAACATAAGCAAATTAAAAAAAAAGTGATTTACCACATACACAGAATTTAAAACAAAAAAGATATAATCATCTCAATAGATTCAGAAAGAGACTTCAATAAAATCTAACATTCCTTCATGATAAAAACCCTATAAGGCTAGTCATCAAAAGAGCATACATCAAAATAATAAGAGCTAATTATGACAAACCCACAGCCAACATCATATTGAATGGGCAAAAGACAGAATAATTCCCCTTGAGATCTGCAATAAGACAAAGGTGTCCAGTCTCATCACTCCTATTCAACATAATACTGGAAGTCCCAGCCAGAGCATTTAGGCATGAGAAAGAAATAAAGGACATTCAAATAGGAAAAAGACAAAGTCAATCTCTCTCTGCTGACAATATGATTCAAAAAGACTCTCCCAAAAGGCTCCCAGAATTGATAAATGACTTTAGTAAAGTTTCAGAATACAAAATTCATGTACAGAAATCGGTAGCATTTCTACACTACAGTAATATTCTTGGTGAGCCAAATAAAAAATGCAATCCTATTTGCAATAGCCACACCAAAACTACAATATCTAGAAATACCACTAACCAAAGAGGTGAAACATCTTTACAAAAAGAACAACAAAATACTGCTGAAAAATTATTAGAGATGAAACAAACAGATATTCCATTATCATGGATTGGAAGAATAAATATCATTAAAATTGCCATACTTTCCAAAGTAATTTACATATTCAATGTTATCCCTATCAAAATACTGTTATTTTTCATGGAATTTTTTTTAAAAAAGCTATTCTAAAACTCATATGGAACCAATAAAACATCTGAATAGCCAATGGAATCCTAAGGAAAAACAAAGGCAAATAAATCACTTTACCCAACTTAAAACTGTATTATACAACTAACGTAACCAAAACAGCATGAAACTGGTATAAAAACAGATACATAGACCGATGGAACAGAATAGAGATCCCAGAAATAAAGCTACAAACCTACAACGATCTGATCTTAGACAAAATTTACAAAAGCAAGGGAAGCACGACTTCCTATGCAATAAATAGTGCTGGGATAACTGGCCAGCCATATGCAGAAAAACATGACTGGATCCCTACATTTCACCATATGCAAAAATTAACCAAATATAAATTAAAGATTTAAACATAAGATCCCAACCTATGAAAACACTAGAGGAAAGCCTAGGAGATACCCTTCTCGTCACTGGATTAGCAAAGAATTTATGGCTAAGTCTCCAAAAGCAATTTCAAAGAAAATTTGACAAGTGGGACCTAATTAAGCTAAAGAGCTACAGCGTAGCAAAAGAAATTATCAAAAGAGTAAACATACAGTCTACAGAATGGGAGAAAATATTTGGAAACCATGCAACCAACGTAAGTCTAATATCCAGAATCTATAAGACACTTAATCAACCAGCAAAAAGTAAATAATCAATTAAAGAGTGAGCAAATGACATGAACAGGCACTTCTCAAAAGAAGATGTACAAGCAGCCAACAAACCTATAAAAATGCTCAATATTACTAATCATCAGAGAAATGCATATAAAGACCACCATGAGATACTGTCTCACACAAGTCAGAATGGCAATCATTGAAAAAGTCGAAAAATAACTGATGCTGATGAGACTGCAGAGAAAAGAGAATGCTTATATACTGTTGGTAAGAATGTAAATTAGTTCAGCCCTTTGGAAAGGAGTTTGGAGATATCTCAAATAACTTAGAACTGCCATTTAAATCAGTAATCCCATTACCAGATATATACTCCAAGGAAAATTAATTGTTCTACCAAAAAGACACATGAACTCATATGTTTATCACAGCAGTATTCACAATAGGAGAGACATGGAATCAATCCAGCTTCCCATCAACAGTGGATTGAATAAAGAATATGATGTACATTTACACCACGAAATACTATGCAGCCATAAAATGGAATAAAATATTCCTTTACAACCATATGAATGCAGTTGGAGGCCATTATCCTAAGCTAATTAACACAGGAACAGAAAACAAACTACCGCATCTTCTCACTCGTAAGTGGAACTAAACCTTGAGTACACATGGACAGAAAGAAGAAAACAATAGAAACCAGAGCCTACTTAAAGGTGGACGATGGGAGGAGGGCAAGGATCAAAAAACTACCTATCAGGGACTGTGCTCACTACCTGAATGATGAAATCATTTGTACACCAAACCACATGGACACACAATTTACCCATGTAATAAGCCTGCATAAGTACCCCCTGAACCTAGAATAAAATATGGAAGGGATAAAAAATAGGTCAACTCCTAGCAGGCCAATTTTCAGTACTCTTTTTGTGCATAATTCTTTAAAGTCATGAAGAGCCAGGATTTATCTTTCTTAAAAACTTTTAAGTTTAGGGGTACATGTGCAGGATGTGCAGGTTTGTTACATAGGTAAACATGTGTCATGCGGGTTTGTTCTACAGATTATTTCATCACCCAGGTATTAAGCCTAGTACCCATTAGTTATTTTTCCTGATCCTATCCATCCTCCCACCCTCTGTCCTCTGAAAGGTCCCCAGTGCTTGTTGTTCCCCTCTATGTGTTCCCATGTTCTCATCATTTAGCTCTCACTTATGAGTGAAAATACAACGCATTTGGTTTTCTGTTCCTGTGTTAGTTTGCTAAGGATAATGGCCTCCAGCTCCATCTATGTTCCTGCAAAGGAAATTATCTTGTTCTTTTCCATGGGTACATAGTATTCCATGGTGTATATGGACCATTATTATAATGCTGATTCCTAAAAACCATGACCAAATGAGGATTTATTCTTAGCATATTTTTATGATTAATCTAAATTTCAAAATGTTCTGCTTTACTATACCACAATTCTATTTATTAGACTACCTTATATTTCCTTTAAATCACTTTTTGTAAGTCTAGAAGATTTTAAGTTCCTTGAATGAAGGGACTCTGCTTTAACATTCTTACCATCATAAATAATACAAAATAAATACTCCTTGAATTCATTGAAAAAACAGTAAATGCCAATAACTAGAGTTTCTAGGTGACAGAATTTTACTTTTTCTTTCCACTGTTTCTGAAATTGTGTTGTTTTGCCCTTTAAATGAGGGAAAATCAAATTTACCTGATAAGTCATTTTAGTACAGTGGATAGAAAACAGTCTCCTGTAATCCAAGTAGGTTTGAATCCTAGCACTATGATTTACTTGTTTAACTATTTAATTTGGGGCAGGTTTATTTAATCTTTCTGAGCTTTGAATTTGTCATTTGTAAACTGGGGATATCTTTCTGAAAAAAAAAACCAACTACTATAAGTATTAAATGAAACTAGTTATAGGAGACTCTTGCACAATTTTGTGCACCAATCCCAGAGTTGGTGCTCAATAAACAGTACCTAGTTTTATTTAAGTACATTGAGAAATATGTAATAATCACCCTGATAAGTAAGATAATCCTGCTAGGAACAAAATTTCTGAATTGCTCTGAATTATAAAAGTAGAACCCCCCTTCCAATCATATTAACATTACCTGGAGAAGGCTTGTGACCAAATATACCATTGAAGAAAGCAGGCATTCGAATGCTACCACCAATATCAGAGCCCACACCAATCACTGAGCAGGCAGCTGCCAGTGTGCAGCCCTCACCACCTAAAGGAAACACAAAATACTTGCAAATAAATAATCTAATATACTATTTGCATAGAATATCTTTTTCCATCTTTTCACTTTCAACCTTTTTGTGTCTTTAGATCCAAAGTGAGTCTTTTGCTCACAGCATATATTTAGATCATAATTTTAATCTATTCTACTCATCTATGTTATTTGAGTATATTAAACCATTTACATTTTAAAGTAATTACTGATAAGGTCTTCCCTGAGGATATTTCTCCCCTCGGTCTGTGTTTGTGTTTCTGTTTTTTCTTAATTCTCCCATATAGAAAAGAGCTCTTATTTTTTTTCCCATCAACTTTTAAGTTCTGGGGTTCATGTGCAGGATGTACAGGTTTGCTACATAGGTATATGTGTGCCACGGTGTTTGGCACCACAGATCAACACATCACCTAGGTATTAAGCCCAGCACCCATTAATTATTCTTCTTAATGCTTTCCTTTCCCCCAACATCCCCCAACAGGCCCAAGTGTGTGTTGTTCCCTACCACGTGTCTATGTGTTCTAATCATTCAGCTCCCACTTTTAAGTGAGAACATGCTGTGTTTGTTTTTCTATCCCTGCATTCGTTTACTGAGAATAATGGTTTCCAGCTCCATGCATGTCCCTGCAAAGGACATGATATTGTTCCGTTTCGTGGCCGAATAGCATTCTATGGTGTATATGTACCACATTTTATTTATTCAATCTATCATTGATGGGCATTTGGGTTGATTCCATGTTTTTGCTATTGTGAATAGTGCTGCAATGAACATATGCGTGCATGTATCTTTATAATAAAATGCTTTATATTCCTTTGGGTATATACCCAGTTTGATGGTTAATACTGAGCGGCAACTTGATTGAATCGAAAAATGCAAAGCATTATTCCTGGGTGTGTCTGTGAGAGTGTTGCAAAGGAGATTAGCATTTGAGTCAGTGGACTGGGAGAGGCAGGCCCACCCCCAATCATAACAGGCACCATCTAATCAGTGTGACTAGAATAAAGCAGGTAGAAATTGGAAAGAGCAGAGTTGCTGTGTCTTCCAACATTCATCTTTCTTCCATGCTGCATGCTTCCTGTCCTCAAACATCAGACTCCAAGTTCTTCAGCTTTTGGATGCTTAGACTCACACAAGTGGTTTGCCAGGGACTCTCAGGACTTTGGCCACGGATTGAAGGCTGCATTGTCAGCTTTCCTACTTTTGAGGTTTTGGGACTGAGATTGGCTTCCTTGCTCCTCAGCTTACAGATGGCCTATTGTGGGACTTCACCTTGTGATCCTGCGAGCCAATACTCTTTAATAAACTCCCCTTCATGTATAAATCTATCCTATTCTGTCCCTCTAGAGAACCCTGACTAACACACCCAGTAATGGGATTGCTGTGTCAAATGGTATTTCTGCTAGGTTTTTGAGGAGTTGCTACACTGTCTTCCACAAAGGTTGAACTAATTTACATTCCTACCAACTGTGTGAAAGCATTCCTTTTTCTCTGCAAGCTAGCTAGCATCTGTTGTTCCTTGACTTTTTAATAATTGCCATTCTGATTGGCGTGAGATGGTATCTCATGGTGGTTTTGATGTGTATTTCTCTAATGATCAGTGATGTTGAGCTATTTTTAATATGTTTGTTGACTGCATGAATGTTTTTCTTTTGAGACGTCTCTGGTCATGTCCTTTGCCCACTTTTTAATTTTTTTTCTTGTAAATTTGTTTAAGTTCCTTGTACACAGGATATTAGACCTTTGTCAGATGGATAGATTGCAAAAATTATCTCCCCTTGTGTACGTTGTCTGTTCACTCTGATGATAGTTTCTTTTGCTGTGCAGAGGCTTGTTAGGTAACTAGATTCCACTGGTCAATTCTTGCTTTTATTACAGTTGCTTTTAGTGTTTTCATCTGAAATGTTCAAAACCTTCAAAACCCTTGTAATTTCTATAAATTACTTCAGGCAGTATGGTCATTTTCACAATAAAGATTCTTCCTATCCATGCGCATGGATTTTTTTTCAATTTGTTTGTGTCCTATTTGATTTCTTTGAGTAGTTTGTAGCTTTCCTTGAAGAAGTCCTTCACTTTCCTTGTTAGCTGTATTCTTAGGTATCATATTCTTTTGCAGCAATTGTGATTTGGAGTTCATTCATGATTTGTCTCTACTTGCCTGTTACTGGTGAATAGAAACGCTAGCAATTTTTGCACATTGATTTTGTATCCTGAGACTTTGCAGAAGTTGCTTATCAGTTTAAGAAGCTTTTGGGCAGAGATGATGGGGTTTTCTAGATATATGATCATGTAATCTGCAAGCAAAGGTAGTTTGACTTCCTCTCTTCCTATTTGAATATGCATTATTTCTTTTTCTTGCCTAATTGCCCAGCCAGAACAACAAATACTATGTTGTATAGGAGTAATGAGAGAGGGCATCCTTGTCTTGTGCCTGTTTTCAAGGAGAATGCTTCCAGCTTTTGCCCATTCAGTGTGATATTGGCTGTGAGTTTGTCGTATATAGATCTTATTATTTTGAAGTATGTTCCTTCAATACCTAGTTTATTAAAAGCTTTTAACATAAAGGGATGCCGAATTTTAGTGAAGGCCTTTTCTGCATCTATTGAAATAATCACGTTTTTTTATCTTTAGTTCTGTTTGTGCAACAAATGACACTTACCGATTTGCATATGTTGAGCCAAACTTGCATTGCAGGGATGAAACCAACTTGTTCATGGTGTATAAGGAACTTGACGTCCTGCTAAATTCTGTTTGCCAGTATTTTATTGAGGGTTTTTGCATTGATGTTCATCAAGAATGTTGGCCTAAAGTTTTCTATTTTTATTGCTTCTCTGAGAGGTTGTCTTTTTTTTTAACTTTTTAAAAATTATTATTATTATGCTTTAAGTTCTACGGTACATGTGCAGAACATGCAGGTTTGTTACATATGTATACTTGTGCCATGTTGCTGTGCTGCACCCATCAACTCGTCAGCACCCATCAACTCGTCATTTATATCATGTATAACTCCCAATGCAAACCCTCCTCCCCTCCCCTCTCCCCATGATAGGCCCCGGTGTGTGATGTTCCCCTTCCCGAGTCCAAGTGATCTCATTGTTCAGTTCTCAACTATGAGTGAGAACATGCAGTGTTTAGTTTTCTGTTCTTG